CCAGCCTTTTTCATTTGCCTTAATAACGCGCGTCAACCATTGACTTTGCATGTAAACTCGCTGCTTCTGCTGCACCTGCTGGGTCCGGTTCATACCGATGTCGAGCGGTTGAACAGCGAGCACAGCGTTAATTTGTTTCCCCATGTTTTTCACATCAGCTGTGAGATGGGCACACATGGAGTCACAGATTAACAGCGATGGTGATGAGTGGAAAAAAAACACCTGGTCTGCTTACATTCAGCCACTATTTCATCATCTCCTCAACGAGGTGGTCTCAAAAGTCGCAGTTACAACACACATAGGGCACACCTCACATTTTGAGGGGAAAAAAAGACGTTTAAGTGTGCCTTATAGTCGTGAAAATACGGTAGCAGCAATTCACAAGTGACTAAGATAGTAAGAGAGATCTGTGCTGATGCTGCTTCGCTTACTGCCAGGTACGGATAACCTATTTGGGAAGGGTGAGTGGAAGAAAGGGTTCTGCAACTCAGTCCTTTCTGATGGGAGGAGATGGCTGAAAGACATGTGAGCTAGCGGATGGAACTTAGGTGGGAGCCCGAGCAGCACAAGAGCAGAGACAGGTTTGAGGAACAGTTGAGGGAACCAGAATGAATCCAGGAAGGGGGTTCTCTTGTCTGGCTCGGTAACACCGAGGGGGCTAGAGGGGAACGCCAGAGCAGAATCTGAGCAGCAGGGATTTAACCAGTCTTCAGCGCACTGAGACAAGTTGGGTGAGTAATCCAGAGCACAACAAGCTGAAGGAGACAGGAGACAAAGTTACAAGTAGGAATATAAAACATCAAACTCTCAGGAATTAAGAACTGTCATCAGGACAGAGACCTAGGCGTATCTGAGCGGTCTAACACTCTGGCGTCCTTAGGCTGACTGAAAGCTCCTCTTAAGCTCCAGCCAGAGAAGCCCCAATGAGCCATAGGTGCGGGGCCACGATCACCTGTGGAAGAGAATCAGCAGAACACAGAATCCTGAAAGTTTCATTCTAGTGCCTTTATCCAGGCTTGCATTAGGGCTCATAGAACAGCAAATATGCCATTTTCAGCCCAACCAATGTTACACACCCTATTCAGAGACCTTAAGGACCTGCACCAAATATCCTATATAATCATTCTATGACCCCTTTAAAAAATCAAGAAAGACTTGGTGGCATCTATAAGCACACATGAAACAGGATTTGGGCTGGTTAAAAAAAAAACAAAACAAAAAAACGTTAATGTCAGTTTTATTTCCAATTATTGCTAGGACCCACAACTGCAGCATGATGTCCAAAATTCCTAGATCAGTTGAAGAGTGACCACAGACCCCTTTCTTTCAATAACATCAACATTTCTAAAAGGTTTTTACAGTACCATACACATATCATCTCACTTTACAATCCCATTTCCATTCTGTGAATAGATTAACTTTGATAACTAACTTGGCTAATAACTATGACCATGATAGGATTGAATTGATTAATTGTTGGACATGGTGAACAGTAGCAACATATATGTCTGAGCCATGTGATTCAGAATGTCCCAGTGGATCAATGGTTACCCTCAGTGCTGGTTGTTCAAGGTTCAACACACTGCCAGTTTCAGTAATAGTAAAGCCATAGTCTAGCATCAAGCAGTAGACTGTCCTAGTCAACAAGAGAGAGAAAGAGTGTCCCTGCAAGCAGCAAAAAGATATGTAGATCCTAAAAGGGTCCATAATTGTGTTTCTACAATTGACTGAACATACTTACATTTTAATCCCTTGAGTATTGGGTGGAAAAAATGACTCACTAACCTGACCTAAGTTGTTTCCTATGGATCAATATATCTGTTCCTTAACAAACGTTGTACCCACAAGATAGGTATGGTTTAAACCAGTGGTTTTAAATCTTACCTGCTTATCTGCTCCAACACACCTGAATCAAAACATTACATTGCCTTCTAAGCAGCCATCACAGGCTGCAGATGCCTCTTCAATTTATTTAAGACGGTTGTAAAGGCAGGTATTTGAACAGGATCGATAACCACCGGTCTATACAAGGTTGAGATAAATTCTCACTTGAAACAGGTTTTGCAAAATCATAATACACTATATTGCCAAAAGTATTTGCTCACCTGCCTTGACTCACATATGAGCTTAAGTGACATCCCGTTCCTAATCCATAGGGTTCAATATGACGTCGGTCCACCCTTTGCAGCTAGAACAGCTTCAACTCTTCTGGGAAGGCTGTCCACAATGTTTAGGAGTGTGTTTATGGGTATTTTTGACCATTCTCCCA